CGCCATCTCAGGAAGTCACGCTAACCTCGAACAAACACTCGACTGCAGTAATGAAAACACCATAAAGTTCATCAACGAAGCCTTAAAAAAACACAACCTCCTATACGAAGTATAACTTTAAGAAGAGCACAACAACTCGGGAGCAACATGGCCTCGTAGCACAGCCCCCGTGCATATATTTTATTGGCCTTATTCATAAAAAATAAAGTAGGTTTAAAGAGCTTTATAAATTGACGTTTTCATACATTTTTCAATTTATAAACCTTTTATAAAGCTACTTTATTTTTTATGAATAAGGCAATATAAATTTATTTATAAAATAAAAAGATAAATAAATAAATAAACGTAAGCGCCATTTTCTGCATCAAAAAGAATTTTTTTTGTACATATGTATGTATGTACATTTGTACATACATATGTATGTATGTACATAGTTACACATATGCAGGACTGCTATTGTGGCACTCCTCAGATAGCTATCTACCTAGGTTTATAGTATGGAAATCTGCTTACATTCATATGTACATAAATCGTTGCATTTGTCCATACTATGTAATTAAATATCGAATATTTTATTGATTTCACAATTGAAAAATGCATTTATAAGCAGACGTTTTGTTGTCTAGTGTAAATCACGCGAGTGCATCACTTGGGAAAATAAGTATATACGTATGTATATACATACATACATACATATTAGGTTTGTTCGTCCAGCAAAAAATTTGTACGAATTTGTACGAATTATCACGATTTTTGCCCAAATCGCGTTCGTGCAGACCAAAAAATTATCGAACACTCAAAAATTGTGAGAGCAAAGTGACAGTTCTCTTAGAGGGAAGTTGCAAATTCTTGCTGGAAAAAATTTTGCCAGCAAGAATTTGCAAACACGAAAAACATGTGGTTGTGGCGCATGGTTGCATTTTTGTCTACAATAATTTGAATAAATTAGTTCGTTAAATTTAAAAATTTATAAACACGAGCGATTTTTTTATGAAAAAAGGAAGTAAATAATTGTTGATATAATTAATTTAGTTAATTCCAATGATTTGAACTTAATTCGGCTGAAAAAAATGGTATTCGCAATCGGAATGCAATTGCAACCAGAGTCGATTTAAGAAACCCGATAGCTAGTACGAAGAAGAAATTGAAATGTATGTTAAAGAAAGTCAGAACAACAAGAAATA